TGGACCACAATTCGCGACTTGGCGCGTGCAAATAATCCTAATAGCTAGAAACACGTATGTATCGCTAAAACACATAACGCGGTGTCCGGCAAAAATTCACCCCGGACACGCCGATGTCCGAGTAATTCGGGAACGGATATTTCGGATCGGATACACCGATACCGCGGATAGCCGGCCCTTCGGCGGATTACTCAGTAGTAGATAAAGTATCATTGATATTGTAACGCGTTTCGACCGTTCGTATTATTGTTAACGCTTAATACCGTTTATCATTAACGTTTATTCCTTCCGCGTTCTCGAGTTTTATTATGAGTTAAACAGTCAAACGGCGCGTGCGCGTGTTTTTAATGATGATCAACGTCAAAACGGGTTTACAATTATCTGCAGAAAATCAATGAGGGAAACTGATGAGCCGCGCGCACAAATTCCGAATCAACCGAAAAACGTCGCGCTCGTTAATGACGGGCGGCCTACGCGCCCAATTAAATGGAGCGGACGCTCCGTGTCGAGGCGTCCAGTATAAAAATAAATAAACTCTACTCTCTATTCCCTAGGAAATTCAACCACATCTTAACGATACATCTAATATTATAATCACTAATCGATGTTACTTATACGTAAACGGGGCTAAGTCGAAGGGAGGACTGTGATCTCGGATTGAGATTTATGTCTTATCTCGCGATCTGGTGTTCCAAGCTGCTCGCTCGGTATATACGTATGTATACGCGATTGTGTTACAAAGTCCCGCTGCCGACTCGTCCTCGAGTATAAAGTTACGTCGCACATTCGCGCAATTATCACGACAATCATCTATCACATATCATCTATCATTCGATATATCGTTATATATCCTACGTTCTACCGTTTTATAATTATCAGCTTAGGCATCGCAACAGGTTTATTCTTATCCGAGGACAGTAACGCTGCGAATGTAGTACCGATGGAATAAACAAAAGTCACCGCGCCTTTCGTTACGCAATTAATCGCAAGCTTGCGAATTATTCTAACCGGAGTTCGCGTGAGCTCACTCGATGTGTGAATTCTAGAACGGTATCCGCATTTTTTTTAATGGTGCCCAAGAGCGATACAATGTCCCATGCAAATTTTGTTAACAAATTTTGCATACGCATTAAATAATAATTTTTGTATCTTTTAAAGACGAAATTCCGCCTTTAAATATAACATAATCGAAAAAATAAAACACGTCTATTGTTATCATTATCGATATTATTACTCGCAAGCGTACGACACATTTACGCACGCATGCACGCACGTCTCAATGACGATGGAACGTGAATGGCATTGACGATAATCTAAATAGTTAACCGGCAATACAATGACTCTCACAACGATACACACTATATACAGGACATACGATCAACTGTGCACGATCAGCTATCATTTTGGACAATTCTAAATCACGATTAATCGAGCTGTCAAGAATAAACCGCAGACGGGTCAATGGTATTTCCACGACTCGTTGTAATTTTCTCTAATTTACAGACTTCCACATTCGTTGAACATTTGTACGTTTGTTAACTAAGAATGCTTACGCGTATGACAGCACTGTGACACGCGTATGGAGGCGAGTAATAACATGTTTTATTTTAAAAACGTATTTTATTTTAATTCTTTCATTGTTATTTTATCAAAATGCACGAATATATTTTTTAATATACATTATTTTATTTAAAATACTTAAAGTTTTATCGATCACGCATGGTTCGCATGATTTAAACATAATATGCGTTAGAAGTAACAAAAATATCTTTAACTGAAACTTTGACTTTTACTCTCATTTAAATTTACAAAGATATCCATTAATAAATTATAATTTTATAAATTATGAATATTATAATTTTTATTTTTGAATTAGTTCTATTGAAATGTGATAATAATGATATGGCGATTCGATATGCTCGACAAATTATATAGCGCTCTATATTGATTCACATCTTTTCTCTCTCTTCACTTTCCCTCCCACGGTTTCTGCCTCGCGGCTTTTGACGTCGAAGTAGATACCACAAAGTCCGGAACGACGTTGAATTTTCGCCAATGAAAATCGATGCGCAATTTACCATCGGTCACTATGCGCATGCCAGCAACTGCTTTTGTAATTCTAGTAGCTTAACAATAAGACGGGATTCTGAATCCTTACCGCATCGTGGACGTCGAATTTGAAGCTTTTGTTTACGACAAACGTAACATCATGATACACTTTGATACACATCATGAAATAGTATGGGTACATCTACCATTAAATGTATAGAATAAAGTTCAAGTAATAAATGTCTCTTGAGCACGAAGAAAAGAAATAATAATTGTTAATATTATTTTAATTTAATTTTTCTAAACTCATTACTCATTATTTTATAAAAACTTCTTCAATCTTACTAGAAACGAAACTTTTCACTTTTTATAGCGAAAACTAGTGTAGCAATATTTATTCAAACACATAAAATATTTTAAAACAAGCGGACCATGCTTTCGATATTAATCGATAGAATTCAAATTATTTTTGTTAAAAAATAGCAATATTATTGCGAGTAATTATTTTGTATTTCCGTGCTTCATACTATTATTTTTGCTTAAGTTATTTCACACGGTAATTGTCTATATGGAAAGTAAAGAATAATAAAAAACATATTCCCGTTTTTTAGTGTCCGTTCGATTGGAAATCAACTGGAATTTTCACTTGTTGAAATAATGGTAAACGAATAAATGACGAGTATGGAAATATTGTAGATGGCGTGTTCCCAGCGGAGATTTATTCTATGTTCACGTACACACTGACGAGCTGAGTTACAGCCTTAATTACGACACAATTCGCGATATTTATTTATAGACGTATAGACGTTTAGAGTACGTGGACCCGTTTTCGAACCAGTCGCAGGTGCAAAAACAAGAATTATTTATCTGAAGCAAAATTAATGGCCGTTGAAACATTTTATTTCCCACAGATCGCCTATCGGTGCGTTTGGTCAGATTTTTATCAGAGAAATTACTATTCTCTTCTCGTACGAGTATATCTATATTTATACGCATAATGTACATGTCATACGAGTAAATGTTGTTGCCTCTGTGGTCAGCTTAAAAAGCGCTTGCTTTGTTCTTTTACTCGTATGTGAGCCGAGATACAGTGACTATAGATGCACAAATATATAATGGTTTACTTATAATGGTTTACTTTACTTCTTTACGAGCTACTTATTCGTCCAAATAATAATGTATACATAAAAAAGGTAAAAATATCAAAATAAATTTTAAATAAATATATACAAATATTAATATTGTATATACATGTCTTCTATAGTTACGACAAATTTAAACAGATTTACGCATACGCGATAAAATGTTTGTTGACGAAGCGTTGACTTGATGTTTAGAAACTACAGTCACTGCTCGGTATTTATGTATATGTTAAAATTAGCTTTTGCGAGCTTTTGTATTCTACTGTTTGGAAAGAAGTTTGTGATGTGCAGATTTAATTGACGCATTGTTCCTTTCTTCTTCTTCTCTCTCCGTCTATTTTTACATTGATACATGCGTCAGAGCATCAAAAGTGCGATCGGTCGCGTCGTAATCGCAAAAGAACGACGCCTAGATCGAAGTCCTTGGCGCAATATACTCGAGACGCATGTGTAACGTGTGCATTGAATGGTATTTCAGTGGAATGAAATAAACCGTCAGCCGAATTATAAACTTTTTAAATTTAGAAATGTTTCATTGTTTAAACAATTTGGAGGATTTAGCATAACAAATTTCTAAATTTTAAGCGTAGTGTAAATCTCAAAACTTATATTTAAAAATTTTGTGTTTTAAATTATGGTTAGGATAGCGATAAACACGTGTATATTATTTAATATCATTTGCACGTAGCATTTTGCGAAAGAAATAATTTTTATAACAAAATTTCGAAAGGAATTGCAGAGTGAATCACTTATTGTTAGAAACTTGATCCTCATTTTTGTTCGGTTTAATCTGCTTTACTAATTTTTTTGGTCGCATTATAACTACATTTTATTTGAAAAGATTTTAACTTGGTTCACCTTGCTATTCTATTTATGGTCTTTATAAAATCAGCGTGATTTATACATTTTTTCTCGCCCGACACCAAGCTGAATCCTTGCTCTCATGTTTCCGTCGGTTCTCTTTAAAAAAAAAATGTTAAAAAATAATTTTTTTTCTTTTTTTTTTTTTTTCAAAAAACAATCTTTAATTGCTGGATCTAGGAGGAAGTGTTTTTGAGCTTAAACCGAGATGGAGCTCCAACGAGAACATTGAGTGTGTCATTAATCGGTTCGTTAACTTCTATCTTGTTAATTATGCTATTCTCCTACAAATGATAGCACAAGAATCATACTATTTACATTGTTATCCCGTTCGAGGGACGAGATGAAAACAGCGGAAATCTGAGGACGATGTCGTGTTCAATAATACAAATATTTGTAAAAAAGTATGTATCTGTTTTGCGTGTGTATGTGCAGTAGATGTGTGAAAACTTATTTATAAAAAAAATGCCTCTAATGATCGAAAAGTTATTCTTGCGAATGTTCGATCGCGTTACACGATGTATTAATCGACAGTATGTTGTTAACAACTAATACACGCGCCGAGGTACGGAGATTAATTTCTTTTGGGAACAGATACTTTGACTCATATCACTGACATATACTACTTCGACAAACTTTGGCAGACTTCATTTATTTTAAATGAAGATTGCCAAAAGCGATTTCAACGATATAGAGAATGGAACAAATAAAGTGGCAAAAACTCGCATTACAAAATACGGCTTTTTTCTCGTATAAAAGATAAAGTACGACGCGTTTTATTTTAGTCATTATTTATATATTTATGAAAAAATTGTCATGTTAGTAATTTAACTTGGAAAGAAACAAGAAAAGAGTTCGGAAAAGATGACGAAAGTTAAGGGGCATAATGTTTCTTCCACTTTATGTTTTCCACTCTATATTATAGCATCCTTAATGGGATCGACTTACCTGAAGTCAACGCTCGATACTACCGAAAGATAATGAGAAACGATCAGAAACTTTGACATGTCGCCGAATTGCAGCTGTATTCTCGCGAACGAGCATTAAATTCCATATTTCCCACACGCGGACGAAAAAAAAAACACCTTTGCGAGAGGGAATATCGAATAATCGGGGAGTAAAGTTTCGATATCACTTGCGTCATGGAGGAACGCAGTTGCCGCAGTCACTGTAACTACTTTCAGACTTGATTCGATGAAGCGGATTTGCGCGTCGGTTCGACCGGCAGGAACACGTCGTCGTTGTCGTCGTGGTTCGATAAGTCGATACCTGGCTTCGTTTTTTCCTGCTTGGCGGTTATCCCCTCCTTTTTCGTTCAGATTTTTCACTCCTGCACGAGTTGGAAAGTAATTCGGAATTTTGCGAAGTCGCGAGTTCTTCGCGTTTGAGTGAACCGCAACTTCACAGGAAGCGTTACACGTGGTAAAACTGCGGTTGCAAGATTTCCGTGAATTTTCTGCAACTTTGCGTGATCTTCAAACGGAGCTTCATCACGTGCTTGTCACGCGGCGTGTTTCTTACGCGGGTGGACCCGGGCGAAAACTAATGAAATTCGGGGACCTTTGGGTTTTCAACTGCCAAAAACTCTTCTAGGAATTCTCTATTCAGAAATATTTGTCATAAAAAAAAAAACTTCTCAAAATTATGTAGGAGAAAATGTTAGAAGAACATATTTCCTTTTGTACTTTCTCGTTTATTTTCTTGCTTGTAGGCGGTAAAAACAGGAGAAAATCAATAGGCTTCTACGTCGTCAGGCGAATTAAAAGAATCGAAAGATCGATGGCTGCGAATCCAGCAATTACTCACATTGAATCGGTATTAAAACGACGTAGGGTTCCTCGGCGAGCATTTCCAGGAGAAGAAGAATATATCGCTGGGCCATGTTAATTCCATTAAGCTATCTACGTGCTTTAAAATCCGATTTCTGCATTCAATTGACGTGCAAAAGAGAGATAGAGAGAACGCGCTGTTTGCGCAAACGGCGAATTAGAGATTCCTGTTTTGATACGAGTACTTCATGGTGGTTTTCATATCGATTTCTTTACCAAACCGCAGCTGTATAGCACGACGTATATCAAAACTGCGGCGCAAAACGAAATTCTTTTGGGAAATATTCTCTGTTTCCACAACTGCAATGTCATTCTTACAGAGAGAGAGAGAGAGAGAGAGAGAGAGAGAGAGAGAGAAAGAGAGAGACCGCTTTCTTTTATTAATAAAAGTTTTATTTTGTTTTCCTTCGCCGCTATTGTGTTAGGCGTATTTCTTCGTATATCGAGTCCGAATTCACCGCAAAATTATGCAAACTCTCTATGTCGAATGCCGCATATTTCTCCAAAATTGAATACAACGATAAAAATTTGATGTAAATATTTTAATTTATGTTTTGAAAGAATTGAGTGATCGATATATTGAAAATGGTCGGTGTTCATCGTGCATTGAACGTGGCTTCTATGTAATTGCGTCACGCTATCTTTCTTGCCGTATTTCACAAATCAATTGGATTAAATGAGTCGCATCACAATTACGTGATACTATAGATTTCATTGTATTCGCTTTACCGGATGAATTTCTTCGCAATCGATCTGGATTTTCACTGATATACTTCCGACACGTGGATTTACCGTGTGCAGAAAATGCGAAAGCTCCATCTCGGGATCTCGCACGTGTCGGAGTCGAGACCCCGATTATTCACGAAAGCGATACACCGCCGTCGACCTCCGGCGGTGCTTTCCTTTTGCGATCTCGTTATCTGTTCTCCTTTTCCGTCCACCTCCGCCCCTCGCCCCTCACCCTTTCGCGAAATCTCACTCTCGCAGCCAGCGTTCTCGTTATCGCGCAGAACTTTTTAAGATTACGAATCGCTCTTCCGCCGGCATCCCTCCACGAAGTCCTGCTGCCCCTGGCGGGACGAAACGTCATCCCTCGCTTCTTCCTCCATCGCGTTATCGCTTATTCATTACAGCTCGATGATATCCGGCGCGCGAAACTGCACTTTGCTGCAATACTTCACCTCCTGCACGATCTTATTACCGCAATTGTCCTCGTCCGCGTCGGCGTCGTTGCTCTGCTCGTCGCCGTCGTCCTCCTCCTGCAAGTCCTCCAGGACCTTACGTCTATCTAGACGCCAGCCGCCACCCCTGCCGCAGATCGCCAACTTCTTCTTCTCACGAATTTTATTCTGGCGAACGGATCGCCGTGGTTATTTGTATCTGAAAGTCGAGCAGAACGGGCGCGCTTTGGAGCGTGAGTGTGCTCTTATCGATCGCGGGTTCATCGCCTTATGTATAATATATAAAATTTACTTTATCTTATTTTATTTTTAATGTGTATAGACGCTTTGACATAGATTGAGTGTGGGATATTATCGGATTCGTATTTGTGACTCAAGAATTATAATTTCTTTTAGACGGCTACATGGCACGATTTTCGACGAATTAAGCATTTGCCATTTTGTGTATGCTATTCGTGCTGGGAATACAAACGGCCAAATCGCGATACGGTACAGTTATTTTTTTGCAAAGTTTTTTTTATGTATCCCTTGTAATCGCCGCAAATACTCTAATCACGTCGTTATCATGTTGAACACGCAACCCGAGCTGCGAACGGTATTCGCATTTCGCCGACAATAGGAATATGATCGGTGTGCGTTTATACGAGCCGCACGTTACGTGATCCGTGCTACTCAGCTCTCCAAATGTATCGAGCACTTATAATAATATACGCAAATTGAAACGCGGTGGCGCCGAGACGAAATATTTTTCATCGTCGATCTCGCCCCGTCGTAAAATAGTTTCCATTGTTCTATTCTACAAGAATTCAGGTTAACATCGCGCATTATTTTCATTATGAGACACATTCGTATTTTCGGAAATTCGTGTAACATTTAAGTTATTCTCCCATTTTAAAAATTTTTAGGATAATTAGTCTTGGTTGGAATTGTCGCTTTCTATATCTGCAATTTATAAAAAAAAATGTTTTTAGTCAGTTTCGCACAAATTCTTTTAAATATTTCGAAAATATATCGATAAAGTAAATTTAACGCTATTCACAGCTTGTAACTAGTATAATTGCTCTTTCTCTTCTTTGTTCAAAGTTAAATTTGGACACAAATCTTGCAAAGCAGATATATTCCGTGTTCTAAAAATCGACTTACCTTTCTGGTAAAGGGCATTCTAGAATTCTGCAGGAAGCCAGACCGACTGCTACCATTAGTATCACAAATAAAACCGCATACATCACGCACAGATGAACTAAAGAAAAAATATAAAGCGTCTTGTTACACCATCTATTGGGCGCATACAGCGAAAGTTCGTATTCCGGCCACATTATATGTAGTATCCAGTAATGTCCTGAAACAAAAAAGAAAGTAACATATGACAATAAGTATAAATTAATATCTGATTTCAAATTTATGCGACAAAATATTCCCGAAATGTATGCATCGTGTACCGTCAAATTTAAATTAGTTATTTTCCAAAGCATGAGAGAACTTTTTTTATTTGTACAATTTTTTCTTTGGTTCGAAAAAAATTTTCCAGATAATGATCTTGCAGCTACGCGACACACATATCAGCTCGCGATTAAGCAGCCTGCAATTACGTCCTACACTCCGACCAACGAACTATCGCGTTTTGCCATACGACATTCGCGAATTGGTACACTGCACGAAATGTAGATAAATGTTTCATAAGAACACTTGGTCACGAACAGTTGAATTGCAACAATGGACTTTTTAATAATCATGATATTTCATTTTGCACACAAATTCATGTGTGTACGCTTTTAACGGTTCGCACTCTTTGCCATTTCATGTAAACAGCAGAAAGTTGTGCTAAAAAAGTCTCAAAGGACATAGAAAAATGTAATCAATCTAATGTATATATATTTAATATATATTTAATGTAATATATACGAAAGTATGAATAATGTATTATTCATAAAAGACAAAGATATCGCGCGCGCGTATATGTGTATAAAATTAATGGCGACATTGTGAGAAAACGTATTTCTGAGACAACTCGACATTGATCCATTTTTACTAAAGGTAAACACGCCGTTAAAAAAACCATCCATTTTAATGTGCTATGTGCTGTAAATTTAAAAACAAAACTCACCACTTGACCGATATTTTGTCAATGTAAGAATTTGCGCGTAAAAGTAATGTTGGAACGGAAAATACTACGCAATTAAGACTAACGAGCAAGGAAGTTAAATATAATACACGCTATAATATTTGTGGAACAATGTAATAATATTGCGGCAAAATTACTGAAGTTCTGCACGCCGCTTTAAAGTTCTTAAATCCAAATCTGGAGTTTAGAAAATTCATAAATATTATTCATCAATTTTATTAAAAAAATATAGTAAAAAAATTAAAATTAAACTAAATCTCCATGAAATAATGTAAGAAGCAATAATTATATAAGTAATAGTTAAAAATAGTTGAAGAAGTAACAATAAAAAGTTATGGAAAATGATTAAAAATAAGTGAAAAACGAACAATTTCTATTTAGTGAAGTTAATAAAAAGTTATTGAAGTAATGGCATTTGTTAGTTTTATCATGTATTATTATTCGTGGCTTGTTCTACTTTACGTGCATAACAATAACTTCCTAACTTTTATTCGCATTTGTATAAAGTTATTATAGAATTACGGAACGGGGAAATATTATGGAATACATGTTTTCGTAATATGGCTCGCTTTACGCTTGTTAAGTAAATCCCTTGTAGCTTTAACGCTTGGAAAATTCGAGGATTGCTGACGCAGTGCATAATATGCCTCGTGCAATATCAAACGAAATGTCTTGCTTACCTAACACAAACCACACTACCAGGAAGCACGACAAAACTATGGAGAGTAATTTCATAGGCGAGATATATGGTCTAGCGGCGGGAACGGACAAGACTTCCGGCCTCCGGGAGCGTATCTGCGAATAAAGCGCCCAGAACATACGCACAGCTCCCAGAGCTCCTCCAATTAACATGTATACCGGAAGGTATGGTTCTTTCGGACAATCCTTGATGAATTGCACACCTGTAAAATTAAATATTTTTCACGCGTTTATTACTCGCTACAAAGATACTCTTGTCATATACGTAAAAAATTATCTATGATATATTTATTGTCAATAAACATGTGAAATCATTTCTAGTTAGGCATATGCAGAAATTTTAATTTTACGTCGCGTCGCATATATGCGATACACGATGCGATAAACGTAATAATTGATTGTACGACTTGTAAATAGTTCTGTCATTTCCCCGCTGGAAGCATTCTCGTTAGTGAAATTTTTCTAACAATATTTTTCCTGTTTTTTATATCCATGATCTAAGTGTTCCGTTTTATGGCTTGAGTACCGAGCAACAATAATACGTGGCTTAATAGTTTGTTTAATATCATGAGTTCATCGTTATTCTCGTCGAAAAGAGAAAAAGAATTGTGTCTCTTAGCCGACGCTCTCGCCTATTAATTAAGACCTAGCATCTATGACGCGCGTCATTATCATGCGCTTTTTGCAACGCCAGCAAGGAATAATTTAGCATTAATTGTGTGTTGCCTGACGTTCATTCTGTGTATCACGTCCTGATTTGACGCCCAACTTAGGATAACATAACATGCAAACATCAAGAGACTCTGTGCTATGACATACACTTGAATATTTCGTTATTATGCACATCTTGTGAATATAAATTATTAATTCTTCGTCGCAGCGCAATCTTTAATAGTTTTTCAAAACATTATTTTGCGCTGTTTGTTGCGATAAGAAAAGAGAATAATATGGCTTTCATAAATATCTCGATAATCGCAGATATTGCGATACTTTGAAAAAGTTATAAAAATTCTGAAGTATATTATATTTCAATTCTGACAAACTAAATGTCCATTTCGATCACACTGAGAGAAAAGAATAATTGCAATAACCATAATCTATAGTGTTTTTTGGCGCCAACCATATTTTTATAGATACTCTAACTATATATATAGTTGATTATATGATCGACAGTACTATACGTATAAGGTTATTATTGCTAACATTATAATAACAATTCTTATAAAAATGATTATAATTATAGTCCCATTATAATTATAGTTCCACAATTATAGTTCCAAATATCACATACTTTTCTCTCAGCGCATAATGTTGTAACGCGATATGAGCTATCCGAGCTGTATTCGTAATGAATTCGGAAGTACAAATCGATATTTTAACAGATCAAGTTTTACATAAGGCGACTAACAACCGTGATGTATAGATTGCTTCTTTTCTTCTTTCGCATACAAGTTGCGCAATATGGTAGTTTTCTAAATAGAGTTCTAACACGTTTAAAAATTAGATAAGCTTCATACTAGTCATTCGTTGAATCAATCTAGATGTTAAATTCCATATCTAACTTTCACAGTGCAGGTTGCCATTCGCGATTCCTTCGACTGTGCTTTTGTGTCGTGATTTATGACAAAAAAATTTCGATCGTATTTGGAATTGCCAGTCCGCGGCCACTTTCGCGGTTCGTCTACGCCATTATTATCGATTGCACGGGATTCTTGCCGGGTAGAACTTTACCGGAAGGTGAATGCACCGGGCCTGCAATAAATCAGGTTAAGCGTCCATGCTCCCTACCGCGCGAATAACCTGCTATGCCCGAGAAATTAAGTATGCTTGCATGCCGTAAACTCAACACGCTAGCGATTCGCGTGTCGTAACTCCGGCAGCATTAATTAGCTCGGAAATGATGTCGTATATTTCGTAGAATTTCAGGCGAGTTTTGCTACCGAATTCGGAGTAGAAATTGGCCAGAAAAGGAAATCGTCAAAAAGAAAAGGAAAAATCCAATACTTTTACTACTAGTATTATTATTTATTTAATAGAAATTAGAAAAAACTCAATATTTTTAAATTCAACAAAGTTATATTAATGTTATGCTATGTGTTACAGAATTATACATACATGTAATTGGATCGGAAACATACGTGAAATCTCATTTCACAAAATTTAAAAAAATTTTTTTAAATTTTGTTGGTAGAAAATTTTATTTACTTTGCATGGGCGCAAATATCTTCTCTCGTGCCGCCGTGAACATTTATCAAACATTTGCATTTTGCCGGTTGAAATTGTTTTTTCCTTGTTATACGTTAAGAGGTAAATTACACTTTGCTTTATTTCGAAATTGCAGTTATTTTAATTGCAGCAGATTAAAAAAATGTGATTACGTTTTCGTAAATATTAAACATACATTAGACATAATAAAAAATATTGTAACACAAAAATACTGATCTTGATATTTTAATAAATTATAAAAACAGTACCACATCGTGCATTATACGTAAATAATACGGTTAATGAAATAAATTGTGAAATTTAGAAACTATTGGCTGATAAATCTTTGCATTAGTGAGAACTTTCAATAATTTATTATCTCCAAGAAAGATTTTGGCCGGTTCATAACATTGATATCATTGCATAAGATGTAATTCTGTCACAAGAATATCTTAATAAACCTTATCTCTCACATTAATTGGCGCGTTCTCCACGTAAATTACCTTGGGAAATCGTCTTCTTTTATCAGACCCCATGTTTTTAATCGAGATTGAACCCGGAAACTAGCCAAAGAGAGAGAAATGCGACTAATGCCGCATTACTGATGGATATTACATTAAAAATTTCTTTGATACCTAGAAATTATTCGCATCGAACGTAACGCGTAAAGATATTCCTTTAAGAGAGGTTAAAAGGATAATAAAAAAGAGCTCCAACTCCCGCGAGATATATAATAGAGGAAAATTTACATGAGAAAAAGCTAGGAGCTTTCGTAAAGAATTGGAACATGGAGAAAGTTATAGACAACATCTTGTTCAATCATTTACTTTACATCATTCTTTTAGCAAGTCAACTCAGGTTTATCCCACGTAAAAGATATACACATATATATATATATATAATAAACTTTAAGAGTAATATCGAAAAATTGGAAGAAGTGTTGGAAAAAAAAAAGTAAGGGTAAAAAGACATTAAATGGCGTTACACTAAGGAGGTATATTGGCAGTTTTAATTCAATTTTAAAATGTACTAGGTGACCAAAGAGTAAAGATGAGTTATATCGCCTTTCTAAGTCTCACGAAAGTCTGTCGTTAATTCTTAAATATAGATGTACTGAGTATTGATCTGCTAAGCTAGTACCGAAGTATAAAACGGATCGAACTGGCGAGAACAACCCGAGTAAAGCCGCTTTCGACCCACTTATCCCGCCGCTGCTCGTTATATAATATTTATTATGCCGAACACTCTTTCTTCCGATTAAATTATCCGTGCGTGACCGGTTATCGGTTAAAGACCTCTTTCGACTTGCACAATCGAGATTGGATGGGTTCGTCGTCATTTATTTAAACGGATTTAAAGACACACACACACACACAAAACTGCGTCTTTTTTACTCACCAAAGATGAACATCAAGATAGGCACAGTGGACAAACAGGTCAGACATATGGTGAACGTCATCGTTTTGCTGATGACTCGTAAAGCGCGAAAGACAAAGTCGCAAATGCCGTTCGCTTCGAGGTGGGCGTCTTTCAGCTGAAACACTACCGAGCCGTAGGTTGCCACGCCGAGATTCGCAGCTTCCGTGTCGCCCTTTTCAGGGACTTTCGCGCCACTGGCGCAAAGCCGGCGTGACTCATCTCCTGAAAGCTGAAAGCACACGCGATACCTCAAATCAGATTTTCTCTCCTAACGTAATACAATTTTATTCCAGCGAATTCATTCACTTTGATTAATGCCACACACACACACATACACGTGACGTTAGACTGTCATGGAAACGACTTTATAAAGCTACAAACGGACATATTTTAGCTTTCGCATCTCTTTTTCTTACTGTAATTTGATTATAATAATATTTAATTTTAATCTTCTGTTTTGTATTATCTTTATTATTTCGTATTAGTGCGCGTGTCTGTGTACCACTTTGTCTGCATTTCGCTGATTACAAAGTAATCCAATTAGCGGTGAAGTAGAAGCGGTTTTTTCCGTCTTTTAGCAGGAACCCTTATTAACCAACACGTTTGTAACTTAGAAATAAAAATTAACGACGGTCCGGATTTTAAAAGAGTTGCAATCAACAACGTTCTCAAAAATTCTCGTATAGAGAGAAGTTTTTAGGGTCTCTTTTTAATGAATAAATAATCCGTGCTGCGGGAGGATTGAGTAATTCGATCAAGGCGAAATAAGAAACGACACATTTTACATTTTAAACAAAATTCGATTTTATAGCTGGTTGAAGTTTGGAACGTTCCAGGAACGATTTTTTAAAAATGATTTGTCGCTCTTGTCCTTTTGCAGGGAAGAAGTTTTGAGACCCACAAACAAAGTACAAAAGAGACCGATCCGATACATGCGTCGGAAGACACCCTTATACCCGAAAAACCACCCCCAAAATCACTTAAACAATTCTAGCCAAGCTAAAAATGACTTGTCGCTCTATTCCTTTTGCACAGAGAAAGTTCCGAGGCCCTCACACGACATGCAAAAAAGACCGATTCGATACATGCGTCGGAAGACACCCTTATACCCAACAACCACCCCCAAAATCACTTAAACATTTTAAGCGACAAGTTATTTTTTGCTAAGCAAGAATTTTTAGACTCTGGAGTGGTTTTTGAGTGTAAGGGTGTTTCCGACGCATGTATCAAATCGGTCTCTTTTGCATGTCGCGTGAGGGCCTCGGAACTTTTTCCGGGCAGAAGGAAAAGAGCGATAAATCATTTTTAACATGGCTAGAATTGTTTAAGTGATTTTGGGGATGGTTTTTCGGGTAAAAGAGTGTCTTCCGACGCATGTATCGGTTTGGTCTCTTTTGCATGTTGTGTTAGGGCTTTGGAACTAGGGATGGGCGATACAATATCGATATTTAAAATATCGATTTTTTTAGACTTTATTATCGATATTTTGTATCGATATTTTTTGTTTTGATATTAGCATGCATCGATATTTCAACAGAAATATCGAATCTCCGATATTATAGCACGTATTACTGTGTCCTGTGTGCAGAAGCCATTATGAAACTAAGAATACTTGACTATGATTGGTCGATTTGCTAATGACCTTGGGCCTATCCAAACAAACTTGCATAGTCGCATAACATATGCATAAGGAAATTGATTGGTCCATAAGCAAATGCATAAGAAAATAACCAATTCATCCCGCAGAGGGCTACTGTCAAAATTTCAGACAAATGCGTTCATT